ACATAGAACTTTGGCGTTGCGTTGGCGTTGGCGTCGCTTCAACAGCTGACTATGAATACATGAATTCAAATGCAGCCGTCCACATAGCCAAAATTCGACAACGCTCACGCCAACACAAAGCAAAAAGATGGCCAACTCTCAACTTTTCGCGTGCGTCGCTCGTCAGCTGTTGCGAATAAATAAAATTATGTGAAATATTTTTCCTTTTTAATCAAGTGCGGGCAAGAAATATCGTTTTTAATGCAATTATTGATATGAAATATTAATTTATCTGTCGTTAATATGTTAATTTAGTGGCCCAAGGATTCGCCGCCAAGCGTTCATTGTAGCAAGCATACTTTTAACGTGCGTTCTGTCAAACCAACGCCAACGCCAACGCAACGCCAAAGTTGTATGTAAACGGGCCTTTACGGTTTCGGTTTCATTCCTTGGTATAAATGCAATTCTAGACCCTCGAATAATATCGACTATCGATTGTGTCAAATGCGCGCAATCTCTATTGAGTGGTTTATAAAAAAATTTGTTTTGATTTCTTCATAGCCGGCGATATGCTGCAGTTTTTACGAAAATCTCGTTTCTATATAATAATAACTCAAGAAATTAATGAAATTCAAAAGCTTTCGCAAAGTAGAGAAAACAAATTAAACTTTAAGGAGCTGAAACATGTGTCCAAAGTCCCTCGTACTCCTATAAAACAAAGTTACCCCGTGGACGAAACACCAGCAATTGACATTGCCACTATTCAACTCCTCGAACGACTTGCGTTAGTCAATTTGGAAAGCAAAGAAGCTTTAAATACTCTGGAAAACAGTATAGAATTTGCGGAAAAAATCAGTCATATCGACACCAACAACGTGGAGCCTTTGTACACTGTCTTGGAAGACCAAAACCTATATTTACGTGAAGATACCGTAACAGAAGGAAATTGCCGTGAGGAAATCTTACGGGGGGCGAAAATCACCGAGGAGGATTATTTCGTATCGCCTCCTGGCAATATACCGCTGCAACAAAAAGAAAAGGATTTTTCATAAAAGAATACTACATCTAATATGCAACAATTCAAAAAAATCGTTAAGAAATTGCAAAACTCTCGTTATTTAAATGCTTTAATTAAAGACACTGGATGTATAAGTAATACCGAACTGTTAGAAAACGGTGTAAAATGTAGTGAACAAATTTTGCACCATTGGCGCAATACACATTCATTAGATAAGGAAGTTGCAGCTAATTTTATAAACACCAATGATAATGATTTCAAGACTAGTTCTCTGAATAGATTAAATTTTGTTTACTCAAACCAGTTTCACGAAAAAATCAAATACTTTTATAGTAATTCAGATACCAAGCAATATCCGGCTATTTTGAAAACTATACAAACTGCTACAGTAGATAAATCAAGTGCTGCTCATGAGCCCCATAGTAATTTGGTATGTTCTGGCGCTCGCCAGCACACGTTTTTGATAACGGATTTATTAGTTCATCATGCTCAAGGATTTAGTAAATTTTTCAATTCGCAACGTGAATGTAAAATATGGTGGATGCGAGTTAGTTCGGATCCTAGTAAATACTTCTTAGAACCATATCATTTTGAGGACATACCGAATACCACGCTACCTACAGGCACACAATCCGTAACAATTAAAACAAAATTACCATATTTCACGTTCGATGTCGAAAGTATTACCCTTGTACCCTTGGCTGGAGCTGGCTTGAATCAGACTGCGTTTCAGCTTTTGTCCAATAATAAAGGTGACCAAAATATGCCGGCTGTTATACGTTCAGTTATTGATTTGAACGCTGCAACAGGTGGTAAGTTGGCAAATGTGTAAATTTTTTTCATTTTGTGTATATGTATGTAAATAAATATTTCTATACATTTTGTAGCTATTCTCTTTGATAGTGCTGATAATGATCGTGATAATACTCTGTTACTCGATAGAAAGCTGGCTCCTGTTCAATGTGCCGTGGCCTGCTACCATGAAGGTAAAATTTTATATGTAATAAAAATAAAATGATTTAACTAGTTTTATTCGAAAAAAGGCAAAAATATAGACGATCTAGAGGACTTATGTTTGCATCTACACTTTGTTCTCGAGCGCTCCGGGCTACGGATGTTAAGTGAAAATACAGTTTTCACAGATTCCTTTCAAGAATTGGATGTTGGCCTTCAAAAATCCGATTGCCTTGGCATACCATATACGCTAATAATTAACGAAAGTACTCTTAAGACTGGCTTGCTAAAACTTCGTAGTCGCGATACAACGCTGGAGGAGTCCATACACATTAGTGATATACCAGCATATTTATTACATATATTTTCCAGTTGAAACTTCCCGCATAAAATGATGAGAGAAATATTTATTGATACTGTTAACTGCCGGTTTCACCAGCAATTTTAGTGAGAGAGGATTTCTTCCATTCTGCCATTTTCATAATAAATTCAAATAAAAAAAATCATTTTCACCTAAATTGCTTTCGTGAAACGGGAAGTTAAACCAGTAAAATTTAATTGAAATCGCATAGATATTGACGCACATTAAACCCTACAACTTGACTTATACATACAATAAGATCCAAGCCCACTGTGCATTGTAAGCGTGATGTACCATCCATCACATTTTCACCAGAAACAAAGCTGAGTAGCTTAAGATTAACAAGGGTTGAAATTTGTGACAATAAGTTACAAGTCAAACCGACTTTTTCGTCAAGAATGGCATAGAAAATTGCCAGCAGCCGATCAACGCTGAAAGACTTCGGTCCTATATAAGTACTCATTTTTTCAGTGACCTTGAAATTATGTCCAGGAAATGAAGCATACAAATATAAATTAATTAAGTATATAAATTGTACTTACTTTTGCATTTGCATTAACAGCCTGCATTCGTTTTCGGCGTTTTCCATGATTTTTTACAAACAAACGCTTGTCCTCTTTTGATGAATTATAACTTGCGAGAAATGCCGCTATTAGCAAATACTTCCCATAATACGGAAGCTCAAGAGATTGTGCTATCTTAACTATTTCCTTATCACTGTGTTCTGTTGCAATCTGCACTTATTTGATATTAATATAACGTAATTCTTAGTTTTATTTCAAACTTACCACTTCCGCCTCTCCACTTCTTATGTAAACTTGTGTTAGTGCAGTACGAAGTTGTCCTGCAATGCAACGCCATAAGCGTGAAACGTCTGACATGCTGACGGTGCCATTCAAAATAGGTTCCATATAGAAAATAAAACATTTTCGCGCTGTAATTTTCAGCTCGGATAGATCGCGACACGCTTTATAAAAAACACCCAGGAAGAGATTTAAGTAATTGTTAAAGAAATCTTTTGTAATTGATTCTAATATTTTCAATTTATCCATAAGATTATCTGCTTTATTGCGACATAGGTGGGCGCTAACGAGTTTTTTTGCATTCTTAAAATCAGCGCTTAGTATTTCGAGTGTTTCTGATTTGGTGTACTGTGGAAAGTATAATAGAATAGGATCATCTATACTTGTTTTACCATAAAATTTTTCCAATGGCAGCTGTGAAATTAGTATAACACAAAGGTTCAAACCACAGAGCTGCTGCAACCTCAAAAAAGATGGCAAGACGTTCGCATCCATATCCCGTAGACGTTCGGCGTTGTCAAGGACAATTATATAGCGCGTATGTGGTTCTGTGTCTTGACGACGCAGTTCCTCTACAAAATCCTTAAGATTTTCTGTCTTAACAGCCTGATCATCGCTTTCACGGCGTACAAAATCCAAAACGTTTTCAAATAGAATGCGAGAAGTATAGTTCTCAACGCAATTAACAAATGCTATATTAGTTTTATTCCTTTGGAGAATGCTTTTACTTAGAAAATGTTTAATTAACGCTGTTTTCCCAGTGCCGGTATGACCATAGATATGAATTGCAGCAGGAAGCATTTCTTCACTGTAACCAATCAGACCAGCAATTACTTTGATTTCTTTCTTCCTGCAGGGGAATCTTTCATTTACTTTATTCAATATTTCCATTGCTTAGGTGCCCAATTTTTAAACATGTATATTTCAAATGAAATTTTTATTTATGTTTTGAGAGAAGCTAAATTATTTTGAGCGCTTTTTATTTGAACAAATGCAGCTGGTGGCGAAGATCTATCGATCGCTTATAAATGTTATCGAAGGAGAGGGTCCTACAAAAAAAGTAATTAATATATTCATCATTTCTCATTAAAATTTGTATTTTATATAACTGCGATCTTAACCATTTTCGGAAATTTTTTCCAGGAATCTAAAATTTCAATCAATTCCTTCGGCAATATTTTGAGATATATTTGAGTTTTCTCGCATTTGCATCGCTCTGTTTGGCCTTGTGCGATGACTTGCCACATATCGTTGATGAAACTTATCGATATTTTTATTGACAACTTTTGGTGACGTTTGTTTTTCATATAAGAACAGTAGACGTCGTTTAGTCGTTTTTCCTTGCTTACACATATGTATTTTCAATATATTTTCTAATCGATTTAATCGGTTTTTACAATAAAATCGCAAAATGAAGTACATTAATTGTTAAAATAGAAAATATTACGAGATAATCATTTGTTTACTGTGCGGGTGAGCTCGACAGGTGACCTTATCGGCCATCAACAAATTTACACTTGATGTGAAGGATATTGACAATATGCAAAGTTTCTCCACAAAAGCTAAAGAAATGTTTATCGTTCGTGCATTGGAAAAAATTTTAGCTGACAAAGACATTCGACGCTCCCATCATTCGCAATTAAAAAAGTCTTGCGACTCAGCGCTTGAACATATAAAAATCGAGCTCATCAACGCTGGTCAAATTGCGGAGGGCAATGAGTTGCCTTGTGCAGCATTGCCTCTACCAAAAAATGACGCAGCCAGTATTATTAATGCAGAAACGTATTTTCTGCCCTTCGAATTGGCATGCAAGAGTCGGTCGCCACGAATTGTTGTAACCGCACTTGACTGTTTGCAAAAGCTTATAGCATATGGTCATTTGACAGGTGCTATACAAGACTCTGCGAGCCCTGGACATTTGCTTATTGACCGTATCGTTAATACTATTTGTGGATGCTTCAATGGACCACAGACCGATGAAGGTGTACAATTACAAATTATTAAGGCTTTACTTACCGTAGTTACATCACAGCATGTGGAAATTCACGAAGGCACCGTATTGCAGGCCGTACGTACTTGCTATGACATCTATTTGTCGAGTAAGAATCTAGTCAATCAGACAACTGCGCGTGCAACACTAACCCAGATGCTGAATGTGATATTTGCGCGCATGGAGAACCAAGAATATGAGACAAGCACGAATCTCCATACGGAAAGCATTGGCAAGAGCGGCTCTAGCACCGATTTCGGTGCACAATCACTAAGCGCTGAAACGGAAGAACCAATAAATGGTAATGAACAAGAAATGTCACTGGAAGAAATTGCTGCTTTCGTTTTGGAAGAAGTTTTAAATAGTAAGTTTATGACTATACATTTGTAGATTATATTTTATGATTGCCCTAATTGCATTTATACCATACATTTTTATTTTGAAGGTGCCTTCGATCAAGCACTCAAAGAAAAGTCCCCATCTGCTACTGAGGATTCAATAAATTCTTCATTTGGTTCAGTTGAAACAATCGACAACCACACCAACTCCGAAGAAAATGCAGAAAACCAAAATGAAAGTGATGCAGTAGTCACTGCGAAATTCACACATATTTTACAAAAAGACGCGTTTCTCGTTTTTCGAGCTCTATGCAAATTGAGTATGAAACCTTTACCAGAAGGACATCCCGATCCTAAATCTCACGAATTGCGTTCAAAAGTTTTATCGTTACACTTATTGCTTTCGATTTTACAAAACGCAGGACCGGTTTTTCGTTCGAATGAAATGTTCATTATGGCCATCAAACAGTATCTGTGTGTTGCACTGTCCAAAAATGGCGTTAGCTTGGTGCCGGAAGTGTTCGAGTTGTCACTTTCCATATTCGTTGCTCTGCTATCGAACTTCAAAGTGCACCTAAAGAAGCAAATAGAAGTATTCTTCAAAGAGATCTTTCTAAATATTTTGGAAGCTAACTCTAGTTCTTTTGAACATAAATGGATGGTAATTCAAGCTCTAACCCGCATTTGTGCCGATGCTCAGTCAGTTGTGGATATCTACGTTAATTATGACTGTGATTTTTCTGCCGCAAATTTATTTGAGCGTCTCGTCAACGATTTGTCAAAAATTGCGCAGGGTCGTCAAGCACTAGAGCTGGGTGCAAATCCTTTGCAGGAGAAATCAATGCGCAAACGGGGACTGGAGTGTTTAGTTTCAATATTGAAGTGTATGGTTGAATGGAGTCAGGATTTGTATGTGAATCCCAACTTGTCATCACTGAATCCTCAAGAGTCTGCCAATACACACGCCACGCACAAAACTATGGCCGAATCAGCACATAAGCAAACTCATTTGGATAATACCGATGCGATTTCGCAAACCAACAACTCTACCACCCGTTCGGCCTATGGTGGCTCCAGCCATAGCCTCAACTCTTATGGTAGTGTAAAGAACACAGAGGTACTTGATTTACCTGAAGCATTGGAAGAGCGCAAAATGCGCAAGGAAGTGATGGAAACTGGTATTGAATTATTTAATAGGAAACATAAAAAAGGCGTACAGTTCCTACAGGAAAAGCAACTTCTGGGCACGAAAGCAATGGATATTGCTAAGTGGTTGCACGAAGACGAGCGTTTGGATAAAACTGTTATCGGTAATTATCTGGGGGAAAATGACGATCATTCGAAGGAGGTTATGTGCGCTTACATTGATGCCTTTGACTTTCATAATTTGGAGGTTGTGGCTGCGTTGCGTCTCTTACTTGAAGAGTTCCGTTTGCCTGGCGAAGCCCAAAAAATCGATCGTCTGATGGAAAAATTTGCGAGTCGTTATTGCGAGTGCAATCCGAATAATCAACTCTTTCAGAGTGCCGACACTGTGTATGTTCTAGCATTTTCCATAATTATGTTGACGACAGATTTGCATTCACCGCAAGTTAAGAATAAAATGACTAAAGAGCAATACATTAAAATGAATCGCGGTATAAGTGACAGCAAAGATGACTTACCGGAAGAGTATTTGTCGTCAATTTATGATGAGATTGCTGGACATGAAATCAAAATGAAGAACACTGTTGTAAGTAAACCAGGCAAACAGATCATAGTAAACGAGAAGCGGCGTAAACTTTTGTGGAACATGGAAATGGAGGCTATTTCTGCCACTGCAAAGAACCTAATGGAGTCGGTGTCACACGTAAAATCACCATTTACATCGGCCAAGCACCTCGAACACGTTCGACCCATGTTCAAAATGGCATGGACACCATTTCTAGCTGCATTTTCTGTTGGTTTGCAGGATTGCGATGATCCAGAAATTGCATGTCTCTGCCTAGACGGCATACGCTGTGCGATACGCATTGCTTGTATATTCCATATGTCATTGGAACGTGATGCTTACGTACAAGCGCTGGCACGCTTTACTTTGCTTACTGCTAATTCACCAATAAATGAAATGAAAGCCAAAAATATAGATACAATAAAGACATTGATAATGGTTGCACATACAGATGGTAATTATCTTGGTTCCAGCTGGCTTGATATTGTCAAATGTATCAGCCAATTGGAGTTGGCGCAATTGATTGGTACTGGCGTTCGTCCGCAGTTTCTCTCCGGCGCGCAGACAACTTTGAAAGATACTTTGAATCCAAGTGTTAAAGAACATATTGGTGAGACGAGCAGTCAGAGTGTTGTCGTTGCGGTCGACCGAATTTTTACAGGATCAATAAGACTAGACGGTGATGCTATAGTGGACTTTGTGAAGGCACTTTGTCAAGTGAGTACTTAAAATTGTTTACAATATCACGTACTACATAGTTACACTATGTCGAATTTTTACCATTTAGTTTTTTCAATGGGTTTAACTAGTCAAATGAGCGTAAACATCATATTTTTTCTTTAATTTTTAACAGGTCTCCGTTGATGAATTGCAAAATGTACAACCAAGAATGTTTTCTCTACAAAAAATCGTAGAAATTTCATATTACAATATGGAGCGTATTCGTTTGCAATGGTCTCGCATTTGGCAAGTACTAGGTGAGCACTTCAATGCTGTAGGCTGTAATACCAACGAAGAGATTGCCTTCTTTGCATTGGATTCATTGCGGCAGCTATCGATGAAGTTTATGGAAAAAGGCGAATTCGCTAACTTTCGTTTCCAAAAAGACTTCCTACGACCGTTCGAACATATAATGAAGAAGAATCAATCGCCCGCCATTCGAGATATGGTAGTGCGCTGCATTGCACAAATGGTCAATTCACAGGCGCATAATATTAAGTCCGGTTGGAAGAATATATTTTCAATATTTCATTTGGCAGCAAGCGATAATGAAGAGGCTATCGTTGAGTTAGCATTCCAAACGACTGGAAAAATCATTGGTGATCTCTATCAGAAGCAATTTGCTATAATGGTAGACTCTTTCCAAGACGCTGTAAAATGTTTATCGGAGTTCGCCTGCAATGCACGCTTTCCGGACACCAGTATGGAAGCAATTCGTCTGGTACGCACCTGCGCGCTTTGTGTGCACGATGCACCTCAGCTATTTGCCGACCACGCCGGCATGGAAAATGATATTTCCGTTGCGGAAGAGGATCGTGTGTGGGTGCGCGGCTGGTTTCCGATGCTTTTCTCTCTTTCGTGTGTGGTTAATCGTTGTAAGCTAGATGTACGTACGCGTGGCTTGACTGTGCTCTTCGAAATTGTTAAAACCCATGGCGACAGTTTTAAACCAAACTGGTGGAAGGATTTGTTCAATGTAATATTTCGCATATTCGATAATATGAAATTACCCGAACACGTGACCGAGAAATCTGAATGGATGACCACTACCTGCAATCATGCGCTCTATGCAATAATCGATGTTTTCACCCAATATTTTGATGTGCTCGGCCATCTACTGCTGGAAGATCTTTTTTCACAGCTGCATTGGTGTGTGC